CAAGTGTTTCAAAGTTTTGCGCATTCTTTCATAGCCAAAGCCAACACCTGTCTGATTCCAACACCAACAATCTGGTCGATCACTTCAATCATATCTGCTTGTCGTCACTAAATATTACTGCTCCTCTAAAGGTTAGGCCTATGTCTAAAGCTAGTAAGCAACCCTGGATAAATGACAGCATTCGCAGCCTAAAAAGGGAATGCAGGAAAGCAGAGCGCAGATGGAAAAAATCCAGTCTCCAAGTCCATTACCTCAGTCTGAAGGATTTATTAATTAACTACAATAACATGGTTAAGGATACGAGAACACACTAATTCTCTGAACTCATTACTACACATAAACACAATCCCAGGTTTCTGTTTAAGACTGTGGATCAGCTGGTAAACCCAACCCCTCCCCCCCAAGTAATGATGACTGTGAATTGTTTTTATCTTATTTTACCAATAAGGTGGTGTCAATCAGAGCCTCTGTTATCCCCACGGCCTCTTACTCAGAGGTCCCTCACCAGCAACAAGAGAGTTTTAACCAGTTTTATCCCATCGACTTGTCTGAGCTTTTACAGTATCACAAATGAGAGTGTCCTCCAGCCCACTTAATGTAATACCTACAAAGTTTTTACTGAAAGTAATGGATTCTGTTGGGCCCCATTTGATCTCTGTTTTTAACAGCTCCCTATCTACTGGTTGTGTCCCTGATTATTTTAAAACGGCTTGCGTGAACCCACTTTTAAAGAAACCTGGTTTAGATCCCTCCCTCCCACAAAATTTTAGACCAATTTCAAAACTGCCTTTTATTAAGATTCTAGAAAGAATTGTGACCAAACAATTGCTCACTGTACTGGAAAATAACAAAATATTTGAAAAGTTTCAATCTGGTTTCAGGAAGTACCACAGCACTGAGACTGCCCTGCTTAAAGTCACCAATAACCTTTTAATGTCTGCTGATGAAGGTATGTGCTCAGTCCTGGTACTCCTGGACCTTAGCGCTGCTTTTGACACCATTGATCACAACATCATGTTAGACAGACTGAGGCACTGGGTGGGGATCTCTGGTACTGCCCTAGAATGGTTTTTTTACCTGTCAAATAGGAAGTTTTGCGTGTCTGTAAATAACTATGTCTCTTCGTTCTGTCCAGTTAAATATGGTGTGCCTCAGGGGTCGGTCTTAGGACCCATTTTGTTTTCCTTGTATCTGCTTCCCCTTGGACATATTATCCATAAACATGGCATTTCTTTTCATATTTATGCTGATGACACACAAATATACTTGCCTTTCAGATCCACAGACCCTGGAATGCTGAGTTCACTTAACAACTGCCTTTGTGAAGTTAAAAAATGGATGTCAAATAATTTCCTCCAACTGAACTCAGACAAAACAGAAATCCTGGTCATCGGGTCCCAGCAGATGGTAAATCAAATACTGCCATCTGCTGGTTCCCTAGTAAATCACATTAAGCCTGTGGCAAAGAACCTTGGTGTCTGGTTTGATAGTAATTTAAATTTCGAGCAGCATACCACAAAGCTTGTTCAATCCTGTTTTCATCTTAGAAATATAGCAATTAACTTTTAAGGACACCGAGACCATTTTACACGCCTTCATCTCATCACGCCTGGATTATTGCAACAGCCTTTTCACCTGTTTAACCCAAAAATCTATTGATCGACTCCAGACTGTCCAGAACTCAGCTGCCAGGCTTTTAACCATAACAAAGAAATATGACCACATTACTCCTATTTTAGCTTCATTACACTGGCTCCCAGTATGTTTTAGAATTGACTTTAAAATTCTATTGATCACTTTTAAAGCTCTTCATGGCCTCTTGCCTTGTTATATTTCTTAACTTTTAGTTCCATACACACCAGCACGTACCTTGAGATCCTCGGGTAGAGGTCTGTTGTCTGTTCCAGAGTCTTGACTGAAAACTAAAGGGGACAGAGCGTTTGCTGTCAGGGCCCTGAGGCTCTGGAACAGCCTGCCCGAGGAAATCAGGTCAGCTGAGTCAGTAAACTCTTTTAAGTCCCTTCTTAAAACATACTTTTATAGGAGAGTCTTTCCCGATCTTATTTGACTTTATTTTATCCCTTTTATTTTATTCTATTTTACTAATTTTATATTTATCTTAAACGTGTATTTTAGTCTTTTCTTTTCTTTATCTTGTATTGTTTTTGTATTATTGTTTTTTTGGGTATTATTGTCTTTACACTTGTTAAAGCACTTTGTAACTTGTTTTTGAAAAGTGCTCTACAAGATTATTATTATTATTATTATTACTATAGGGTATCTACACATGATAAGTGGTCTAATCTGGTAACACAGGAAACAGTAATAATCAGGCACCACAGGTACAGACAGACAACAAACAATCTGGAAAACATCAACTAAAAAACCGCCCTCTATATATAAACTGGGATGAGCTAATGAGTTACAAGGTACAGGTGAACAAAATCATGTGATTAAGGAAGAAACCTCAAAGAGGAGAAAAAGATTATAGGGCCTGACAAAAAGATTATAGGGCCTGACACTCTTGCCAAATGAATGTATTACATCTTACCGAAAAACTTATGACTTTAAAATGGTGGAGGGCTCACGAGTTTGGCAGATTCTTGTTGTAAATAAAATTCCCAGTTGAACAATATGTATAAGATGTGATTGGTAGAAAGATGTTTTATTTATGCCCGGGGTAAAGTAATTTGCATGTCACAGCAGCAGTACACAAAAGAACCTCAAAGAATAGAGTAACTGGAGGAATAGAGTAAAACATATGTCAAACCAAGTATCAACATAAAAATAAAAAAAGTATGTCCTTTTAAGTGAAAATTGTAGTAAGGTGTGCAAAATTAATGCATTTTTCAGTTAAAAGTGCTTGAAGCACAGCTTTTCCTCTCTACAAGGTCACACTGGTAAAATTCAAGACGTCTAGCATTTTTAATTGAGGTTAAAAAGTCTTAGGACCATGGAATATTTTCCATGTGTTTGGCACCAACTTGCTTATTAGGTCAGTTTAACTTGTTTCAACCCTCAAGTGTTATTTCTAAGGACAACCAAGATACATTGAAAAGTAAATAGATATATTTTCCACATCTTTCTTCTCTGCTGCAATATGTGACCACTTCTACAGTACATAAAGTGGTAAGTGTACATTACAACCCTCCATTTTCTTCCCTCCATGAACAGTGCAGCAGCCACTGCAGGTTGGTGTTTCCTGAATATAAAGTAGAGCGGAATAAGCATGTTGAATCACAGAAATTGTGTCTCTCACATAGCCTGCTTGTTGACAACGTAGTGCACCAAACAGAATAATTTCTCAACAGCAAAGAAATAATAGAACACTGAGTACTGGCAGTAAGCTTGTTGTAAAACAAGTGTGACATCTATAGTGGCTGTATTTACATCCAAACAGAGGAAAACGAGGTGTACACAGCAAAATATGAAATCGATTTCCATGTAGACATGATGTGGGGTTATAGATCATCAAAAAATACATCATGATATATCATATTCAAGTGTGGACATGCCTAACCTTTATCCTGCTGCCAGAGGGTTTCCTGACCAACATGTGCTGCATAGTAATCTGTTCTCATTGGACTTTGCAGCACTGTCAAATGCTCCCCATCCCTCTTTTGGTCGCTGACTGCCACTGTGTGGTCATCAATATTTAACACAATTCTGCTGCAGTTCTTTCACTTTACAAGCCTTAAGAAATTTGATTGCTGCATCCCACTTATGAAACAGTAAAGCTAATATTCTATACTGTAGGAACGACTTAAAGATAAATTGGAAACATTTAATGTAAGTCTCACATTGTTCCTTCCAGAAACAAAAGAACAGCTTGCTTTATGCCCGGGGTACCCTAATCTTGTCTCATGGGCAAAAAATTTAATCTACCACTCCAGCCTCCATCATCCATCATCATTAAAGAAGAACAAAAAAAAAAGATACCCTTTAACACTGTTTGATAAAAGCAGCTACTGGCTTGTATTTCTGAGCCGATTTTGTCGTTTGATGGAGCATTTTCCTCCGTTACCCTGTACAGTCATACCACTCCATGATAGTTGACAGCTTGCATCAGGTTTTGACACTTATGGTGCAGCTAAAGTGATGTTTTAGGATGTTTCATCTTTTTAAAACATCAAAAACAAATGTCAAGATTTGGCATCAGTGTTATTTAAAACACTTATAGTACAGGCTTCTTTCTAGAGATGTCATTTTACACCAGTAGTCTGACGTCATACAAAAAGATATGACACACATTTCTGCACAAAGTGGCCTCAAAAGACCTGAATACAATGTTGTCACAATACATAAAGAATGACACAACCCAGCTTTTACAGAAGGGTAGGATAGCTGTATTTAAATACTCACAATGCTAACATTCATTCTCTGGCAGTTGTTGAGAGGCATTCTGGCAAACTTAAAGCACACAAAGTTCTTTTGTTTACTTAGTAATAGTCAGTAAATAAATGTTGTATAAATTAGAAACCACGAACTTGAACAACTTAGCCACAACCTCCTTTCCTCCCTACTACTACTGTAACTCCTTATTTACTTGCCTAAACGATGCAGCAGTTGCCCATCTACAGCTGGTGCAGAATGCAGCAGTGAGACTTCTCACAAACACTCGATGTAGGGAACACATCACTCCCGTAGTGGCTGAATTACACTGCCTGTCCATTCGTTACAGAATTCAATTTAAGATTCTACTGATTACTTTTAAATCCATACATGGTCTGGCTCTTCTTTACGTTTAAGAACTCTCAACCCTTTATTCTGCTCCGAGACCCCTCAGATCAGAGAATCAAATGTTGTTAAAAATGCTCCACGCTTAAAACAGGGGAATCATACTTTTACTGTTTTAACTCCAGTGCTGTGGAACAAACTCCCCCTCAATATCAAATCAGCTGAGTCAGTGCATCAGTTCAAAATGTTTATTTATTATTTGTATTATTATTCCAAATGTAAATATCTAAAAATGCAAGGTTAATTGAAAATGGATTTTTACTTTAATGGTACATGTCATGGGTGGGGGACATGGGCAGGACGCTGCGGTGGTAAGGCAGCACGTAGACAGGACTCATTCCTGCATGGCGGAGGTTCTCCACCTTGCCAAACTGCCGCAGATGGAAGAGCAGGGTGAGCTTCCGGGTCATGGTCTTGAGTGCCAGAAAGGAGGCCAGAATTTGGGCAAGCAGGAAGAGGAGGTAGAGGGAGTGGACGGCTTTCTCTAAAGGCAGGATAATAATTCCTTCATCGGTCAGGAAGAACAGCAGCACTGGCAGCTGGAACATGAAAGACAGGAGCCAGAAGGCTGCCAGCTCTGGCATCTGATGACAGGGTGAGAATTCGGGTTGGTGGATGGAGGCGATACAAAGATAGAGCAGTCAGGCATCAAGTGCTTCAGTTGTATCCACATGAAAGCACAGACACACACACACATACATGCACACACTCAATAGACAGTTGTAGCCAAGAGCTGATTGTTTACGCACACAGCCAGAATACTTAAGCAGCCACTTCCTCCGGTGTGTTATTCAGGTTCATAAAAGAGCTCTGCGTTGGGCTTCAGAGAGGATGTTTGTTTGAATTACCTTTTCTTTAAGGTTGCCAATGTAGCCCAAATAAAGTCGGACCACTTCAATGACTGTGAGGAGGATCATCCCGGTTATGAGCAGAGCCTGGTAGTACCCGGGAAGATAATAGAACTGGAAATAAAGCAGATCTGGGAGGTGAGTATGTCAGGAAGGTACGAAAACATATTTTGACTTGCTGCTCACGGGACTTCAAACAGAGTACCATTTGGTGGCCAAAAATGCCTAAAACACAGATAAAAGTATGGTGTGATTATAAGATCTTTCAAATTATTCTGATGGCATATGCTTGGCTTTAAAGAAAGAGATATTGAGATTATCCCTGTGGTGCAGTCTACTGTATGTGTTGCTTTCGCTCCATAAGTTTTACTGGTTAGATGATTGCCATAAGGTCTATTTAGCTGCTACAGCTAGACGGCGCCAAAGTCAAAAGTATTCCAATTTGACATAGTGGATTTAATAAGTGGGTTAAATTTGACAACTTCTGCTACTTCGGAATACACAAAAAGTATCCTCACCAATATTATTTTTTTACATGTTTGAGTATACTTTATCTTTTTATATGGGTACAGCCTTTAAGTGCAGTGAAGTACAGCATGAATTGCTCTCCAAAAGAATAAGTCTTCTTTTGGTTTTTCTGTGTGTCCATTTACACTAATGATGCAACATGGCAGGTCATCAGAGCTCACTACAAACTAACCTTAACTTCCAACATGAAGACAGCAGAAAACCACCAACAGGGAAAATAAAACATGTTGAAGTACAGTAGCATCTGCAGGGGAAGGTGAGAAACCAGCTCGTTGACCACTGCAAGACAGTCCATAAACACTCATATTCATTACGTCCATAACTCATTATTATGATGATCACATAATGTTTTCTTTGTACAATTCCCATTAGCAGACAGCTGCATGGAATACAAAATCCCACAATTTAGATGTCAGGGGTATGCTTTGTCTATGTATTGCAAACACCATAAAAATATAGAACAAAAATATGTATACAGAAGGTAGAAAAATTAATGTACATAAAAAGAGACTTAAATCCTACTATAACTTAATCACAATTAGCAGCACTGCAAAGGTCCATTATAGGTTTAATTGCAGTAAGCAGCTAGTTGAGGTCAGGAAATCAGAACTTTGTCATGTGACTTTTTAAACAGCATGACAAAAATAAATCTTCTAAAATATACGTAAATAATCCCAAGAGTAACATTTAATGGAAAAAAATAATAATAATGTCAAGAGAAACATCATTAAAAATGATGACAGTATATGAGAATCAGACACTAGGTTTTCAGCAAACCCACTGTCCAGAAGAAAAGAGTGCAGTGTTCACATTATTTTGATGTCATATACCCTCACAGCTAGGTATATGATTTCAGAATTGGTTTCAGATACACATTATCACGTAATTCCCATGTATGTTATCACTATACTATATTATAATTTATTCTAAAATGGTATCTTACATTATACAGCAGCAAACTACACAATAGTAAACAGTCTGTGGAATCAGTAACTAACCAGAAACGTCCTCCTGCTCCCTGGCGAAGTCGCTGTCTGCTGTCCTGTTGTTGGTGAACACAGAGCCTCCCATATAGGCCAGACCCATGTGCAGGTGCTCGGGAACAGGTGAGTAAAACACAGGCATTGTGGGTAGAGCTGGGGACCATGACCAAGCCAAGGAGTCAGGAAGTGTAACAGTCCAAAACTGTGTTCATTACCCTGTGTCTACTGCTACTAATCCCTGTTGTGTTATATCACAGAAGTAAACAAATGCATGAAGTCACAGCTACAAATGGACACACACAGACGCATGCTGGCAGACACCACTGCTAATCAGATTATAGTGAAGGGGGTGGGTTGAGGATTAGGCTGAGACAGCGGCATGGCAGTTTGTTAGTAAGTCACTGCTTGTTTATGATGTTCAGTTTAAAAAAAAAATCTAAGTAGAGAATTTAACAGTTATTTAAGCTCTGCAAAGATAAAACAGTGTAAAATCTGGCCATCAGAATAGGGACCAAAATGAAAACCAGAACAATGCATGTTCATAAAAGAAAAAGGAAATCTGTCCTAATTTTACACCCACATATAATTGTTCTCCCATACAGATAATCCACACAATGATCCACTGAATCATTTATTATGGTGTTTTACCGCCTTTTTATTTAAATTCAGCATATAAACAGAGTGACACAACAATGACTAACACACTGCACGCTGCACTTGGCCAGCGAGTCCTCAGAATGGTGCCTGGCTTATCGTTTTGGCCTTGGGGCCCCACTCGTCATTAATGTGGCCGGGGTGCAGTGGCAAAGTTTGGCCACAAGGTGTCATCACAGCTCATCCCTTGGGGCACGAAGGGGGAAATGCTGGAACTCCTCTGGCACCTCTTCCCCTTTCTGGGACCTCTTGAAGAAACCGAGTGAGTCTAACAGGCTGCTGATCTCGTCCGCCTTCATTTTCTTCACGGGAACAGTCTGACGTGTCGTGCAGGGAACAAAGAGAAGTACAGACGCACATGCATTTGGACACATGGTAAAAGGCTTAAAAGTAGTGATGCAGTGTAAATGGATGTGTGAAAAGATGTATGTTTCTCCAGATATACACTGTGTTCTGACTCGCCTTAGTTTACCAGTACCTTAATTTTGTTTACCAAAATTGGATTTTTATTAAAACGTGTTCAGTGACTGCTGAGAGGTTCCTCCTGAAAATTTGTTTTCATTTATTTGTTCAATGATTTAGTCTCTGAAAAAAAAACTTAATTTAAAGGAAAATTACAGTCTCAAAGGGCTCCCACTTTATGAAGCAGTAAATGAAAACAACAAACATTAGAGCCTGAATGTGAAAAAAGAAAACTCCTACTTAAGCTTTATAAGAGGAAATGAAAGGTGAACACTTCTAGAAAGCAGTTAAGTTTACATAGTTTACTTTTAAATCACAGCTGTGGCTCTGTGCATAGAAGTGGCTAAAGAAATGTATGCTTTTATTTTAGAGGTTTATTGTCCCATGCTGGTCTAAATGCAGGGCTTTTAAAAAAAAAAATAGAAGTCTGTGAGAAACACTGAACAGTTGTAATTTCAGGGCATAAAAATGTTCAAATTCATATCAGATTCATAAGCAAAAATATTGCTCAGCTGTCAGAAACCCTAATTTATATACTTTCTTACTCTCCCTCTTTCTTGTCATCTTTTTTTTTTTTTCTGTCTCGCTCTTTCAAGCACACTTGGCCTTGACTTAGTATCTGACAGCGGATCTGATATCAGATGCGGCAGTCTTAAAACTCCCCTACATGAATCTGTCTTGACATTCTGGCGCTCCCCAGATAAGCCCCATCCTAAGGCGGATGAGTAAAACATCCCTGAACTCACGTCTCACCTTTACAACCTCGTCCTTTTCATTATAGAATATCAGACGTGGATTCTTCTCCTCCGATGAATCATATTCCAAGTTGTGGCTACACAGGAAGGAACGGATCAAGGCAAACAACAGGTAGGCAGTGAAGAATAAATCACATCCATCTGTTTTTGCTATTTTTAGGCTCACTCAGCATGATTTCAACTTGGAAGAGCAGAGTTTTGGAAAGCTCACAGAGCTGGCACTGGGCTTGGCAACTTGTTAGGAACATTGTTTTGTTTATGAAAGAGGTCATGAGAAAATCTGTGGTGTTTTTTAGGAAAAGTCAGGTCTTACCAAAAAGCCTGAGGAACAGAAGAGCACAAGGATACTATAAAGCCCAGCGCTCCATGAGAAAATGATGGAGCTCTGGCATTTTCTTTATGCCTCATCCGACCACACTGGGAGCCTGCAGGGACGACAACAGACAGTTGTTAAAACAGCATGACAAATAGCATTGTGCACGCTTCGTTCGTTGTGTGATCAAAGGTGCCAGAAATAGGTTTCATATCTCAGCAGAATACATACTGACATGACACATGCACATGACTTATCCCTCATCTCATTTATTTTCCCATTTGCTCGTTGAATGCTACTGTGCTCCCTGCCCTCTTTTCATGTGTAAATATTTAATTGCAAAGTTTTCTTGTCTCTGCACTGATATCACAAAATCCTGAACATTTTAGGGTTATGACAGGCATCCAGATAAAGTTACTCCATATTATTATATTCCATACTTACCAGCAGTTTACCTCTGGCTATAACAAGCTTTTCGTCAATCGCCGTGTCATTGTTAGTCATGTCGTTGTTAGTGTCTGATGCCCTAACAGCGAGGGCAAGAGCGAGCACCAAGGAGGCCCACATTTCTATGACAACTTAGTATGTTTGAAGGGTTTTGCCTGAGTTATTAGACAACAACAATATGTAACCCTTTAAAGCACTTGGACCGTTTCCCAGGGTGGACAAGTCCATGACACATTCCTATAGGGGAGCAGTGCCCTCCTGTGTTAGATGTTTCCTACTGTTTCTTGTTGTTTTTCTATCTTTTTTTTTATAATCTGAGAAGTAGGTCACTGGTTAGCCAGCCTGTCTGCATACCTATTTTGCTCTAGTCTTGGTTACAAGCCTGTTTTTGATATTTTCAAAGGCCATGCAGAGGCCCCTAGCTTTATAGTTTATAGTTTCTTCCACATCAGATGTCATTAGGTGTCCAGAGAAACCACAGAACATCTGTGCTCTTATCACTTTTTCCCACACTGTTAACTTGCAGGTGGTTGATGGCCCCTGAGAGCCAGCTACACTTTCATGGCTGCTGAAAAGCAAATTTTAACATACTATATATATGAAAAATTTGGCTTGTGTACTAAAAAGAAAGGCATTTTGAATCTCAGGGGATTGTTTCTGGTAGGAGAGGATCAGTATTAAGAGAACATCTCTACCTTCTCCAACTGAAACTCATAGGTTTGTTATTGGTTAGTTGTGAAGGCAACCACCAGTCGCTTCATGTGTTTAGGATTCTTCTAGAAAAATGTCAAACAATTACCAGACTTCTTAATTGGTGTAAATAAACTTTTATAAATCCGAAACCAATTTTTCTAACAGCAAAGCACCAAAACATCTCTTTGAGAGTTAGATGAGAAGATTGACACTACACTCATTTATACAAACACTGTTAGCTTAACATTAAAACTAGAAACAAGGGGACACAACTTGCCTGGCTCTGGCCTAAGTCCTAAAAAAATATGTCTAACTACACCTCTAAAACTAATTAACATGTCATCCCCATCCGTTGTTTGTTTAATTCATACACAAACATAAATGGAAGAAATTACCATTTTCCGGGGAGTTACATGCTGTAACTACTTCTTGGCAAACAGCCAAGCACAGTGACTTCCCAGAGACTTGTTGCGAACATGTGCCAGACAACCAGCAGAACATGCTGCCTGCAGAGAAATGCTGGATGGATGGACAAACTGTTGTTTATCAAGAAACAGTGAACAGTGAAGGCTCAAAGTTGCGGGATGTAAGACAAAACGCTGAGCTGAAAGATGCTACAAAGCTATGAAAAGCTGAGCTAATTGCAGAGTTGGCAATAATTCTGTGGGTTGATCACTACCATTGACCCCTTTTAATTATTGAGCTTGAGAAGTGTTAGTTGTATTTTTAAATAATAAAATACTACCAGGCCAGCTGTGTCCCGCTGCTTCCAGTCTTCATGCAAAGCTAAGCTGTAGTTAACACACAGAGATGAGAGCGGCAACTCTGTTTGTTTAACTCTAAATTCTGTATGCAGGTTTGAGTCAAAAAAAGTTTATCTTAAGACACGTTTGTTAAGTTTTCATCATTGTATTCTTTATATTCCAAAGTTTCAGACCAAAATCATCAGCAACAGATACAACTAACATGGCAAACCCCCAGTGCATTTCTTTCTTTCTTTGCTCTCTTTTTCGTTATTGCTTTCTCACTGTAGCTGCATGAGAAGTAGTGTTTAATTCCATTATGTACTCGTGTGTGAACTCAGACCTCATGACAGCACGGCACATTTGCACTATGTTAACACCCTGAAAGAGGAAAAACATCTCTGCTCTCCAACTTTAGTCAACTGCTGTGTTGAGAAAAAGCAAAGATTAGATTAGGTCACCACAAGAGGGCAGTAACGTCCACATTTACACTTTCTGGCAGTTTAGCTGGTAAAATGTACTTCCAAATCCTAGCCACAGACAATTATGTTTCCAACAAAAATAAACCATTCCTGCCTGGAATGCTAACGCATAACCATCTCTCTCTCCTTCTATCTTTTCCAGACACAGAGCTCTGCAGCTCAGAGTCCTGCGCTCTGCATGTACTGTTTAAGATTATGTGTCAAATGGCAGTAAAACAGTCCCCCTATTTAATAGGGTTTCCTCCCCTTGGCAGCCATCATAAATCCACAGGCCTGTATACTTCCTTGCTGTGGAGTGTTTACATCTTTGTGTTTTAAAGTTCCAGTCTTGCTTCTTACATTGTATGTTTGGCCTGCAAGAACTTAAATAGTTGGTTTAGAGAAAGAAAGAGTTGACAAGAGAGGGGAGAAAACACACTGCAGAGTGGGGGTGGGGCTGACTCTTCACTCTATATGTGTGGATACATACCATATGTGTTCACAATCAGCATGTTTGTGCTACGTGCCATACAGGGGCGAGCACGGCCGTTTATAACCAGTGCGTTATGGAGCTGAGAGTAGATTATGAAAACATTGACAAACTTTTTTCCTGTAGGAGTTTTGCAAATTGCAACACTTGCAGCTGGCAAAAGATCAAATGCTAAAAACACCTCACTGTAATCCTGCCTCCCTCGGAGAGCTTGTTATAAAGACACACACACACTTCCTGTTTCCCCAAAGCACCGGATGCTGCCCACCAGCCAGCAGGACATTGTGTTGTGTTTCTGTTCTCTTATGATGTGCACAGTCATTTGTGCATGTTTGTGAAAAAATATTTTGCTCTAGTGTCTATTTCTCTGTTCTTTAGTGTGAACATTTATGTGTACGTTGGTCAACGGGGGATGAATAAAAATATGAGTCTGAGCATAAACGGCTATCTTTGTGTGTGTGCTTATCTGTCTGGGGCCTTGGGGCAACTGGGCGGATGCCTGTTGCCTCTCTGCCTGCTGCGCTCCAGTCTGCTTATAAAGAAGAGGCAGTGTTGAAAGTAGTGACGGCCATGAGGAGGGCTTCATTCAGTAAGAATTCAATGCTAATGAATGTGTGCCACTGTATAATACAGTAAGTAGACATAACATGGTGGAGGTTCAGGTTCAAGGCACAAAACATTATTTCCTCTAAATGTGTCTTAGATTTGTGTCAGCACAATAGCTACATTAAAAAGACATCACATCTGGTTAAGAAAACACAACATAAACAAGTTTATCTCTAAATTGTTAATTTGATAATTGTCAATTGATTGTCATGAAGCTGCTTTCTTGGCCGTGATTCTCTTTAAGAAGCGATGACTTATTAGTTGATTTAAAAAAAATCAGCAAGTAAAGCAATAAAAAACAGGGAAATGGAGTGGGGTGTCTATGCGTGACAGTAACTGTAAGCAAATTTACAGCTCATGGAGTGAACGAAAATGTCACTGAGTTTGATTTAGCTTGAGGTTGGTGTGAACCTACGACCTAAAATATGTGGCTCCAATTTTACCCACACAGGGAGGCCGCAGAATGGTGAGAGACCCTGGTTGCCTTGGCAGAGGATCTGTGTTGTCCCGGCATGGATGATGAGGATGGTTTGCTGCCAGTGACCTTGTTTGCAGCGTTTTTGTCATGTTGGTGGTGAAGGTGAGAGAAGGCTGCTAAGATTATAGCCTATTTAGTCAGTTGTAGTGCAGTATGTGAGATAGTGTTTGACATCTCTTCTACAGTTAAAATTTGCTGCATCTTGACCAGCTACAACAATAATTAGTACTTACTTTAGATACTTTTAATACATTTTGCAGATAACTCTTCTGTACTTTAGTAAAACACAGTATTTTTACTTACAGTAATAGTCCAGCAAATTGGGAAATACACTTATTCGTTTTCTTGCCGAGAGTTAGATGAGGAGACTGATATGAGTAGGAATAGGAAGTAACTACGCCTGGCCAAAAGTCCTGCACAGAATAGATGGATTTGACCCTTGGAGAGAGCCAGGCTAGCTGTTTCCCCCAATAGTGAATTTCACACCATGGTCCAACAATTGTCACAGACTCACTATCCCAATAACCATGCCGAAATCGGTGATTGTGATATATTTGTCTAAGGGATAGACTACTACTACTACTGTTGACTGAAATAACATGATAGTGTTAACTTGCACCAAAGTCATTGAAACCGCAAGCAGTTTATGTTTGTCTTTCACTCCCCTTATTTTTTGTCTTGTAACTTTCAGGACAGGTCAAGGGGTGTAGCATGTTCCTATATGGGTTTATAGGATACTGCATTTGCGTCCATATGGCTTAGGGGATAACGCTTTTACCATGTTGTTTTAAACACCGTCTGGCTCATTAGAAACAACGATGAAAACCCTGCAGAAACTCAAACTCCACTGGTATTAAATGCAAATAGAAAGACATAAATTACTAGAATTTGTCTGACTGACAAATTCTCTGTCAAACTTTCATTGATTATCACTTCAAAGTTTTGGGATGTAGTGTACTCATTAAAAAACTATATTTGTAAGCAAGTTTTGACACTGATAAATGATGTGAAGAAATTGCTTGTACTTTTTTGGGTTGACTGCTATTTGAGCTACCCTTCAGACTCTTTGATGACACATAGTCATCCTGCTGAAGTGTCCTTGAGTAAATCATTGATTCCTCACACTCTCTGGTACGCTGTTCTGTAGCTCACCCTGACCTCTGACCTCCCTAGAGGGGCATATAAAAATCCCTTGTCTTTTGTGGTCACACACCAGAGTTACAACAGTTTTTATGATTCAGGAACAAGAGCACATTTTCAAGAATACAACAGTGACAGCTTGGTGCTTTTGGTACGATATGTAGGTCACTACACTGACAAAGATTCCAGTAGTCACGTATTTAAATGGGGAACAGGATAAGGTGATAGATAGGCCTGGTAGTGACATCAAGGCGGATGTGAAGGTTTGGAATAGAGGTGGGAAGGCGGTGAGGGCGGCGGAGGGATTTGCACTGATGGATGTCCAGTTGCTGGCCACATGAGAGGGGCCAGGGGGCACGCAGACAGCAACCGCTGCTCCCCTCCCTCTAATCTGCGCCTGGGTAATCAGAAACACATGGCTCCCCATAATGGCTTCAGTGTTGGCCTGTGAAGTAGAACAGGGCTGTGAGGGTTGCATACACAAAGCCACGGTGACGGTAAATACACAGCAAACACTTCACCCTTCACATGCCAATGCACTGCAACCACAGCAAATACATTCTGGCATAAACAAGTAAAGGCAACTTCTCTTTTAGGCTGTTATGAAAGTGTGTCTAACCAAATAAGTCGCGCATAAGAAGAGTGTGAATAATCCTGACCCGGCCGCTGAGTCACAAAGACACGATAAGTAAATCTGATGTGGTTTGAAAAATGGGGAAATGTTCCTGTTGGCTCAAGGTGAGTAACTGTACATGTGTTTCTGTGGCTGGATTTGGCAAAATAAAAATGGAGTGAAAGTTTTTGTCTCAAACAACAAAGCTGTTGTAAGCTACAGTTCGTCGGTCACAGACAGGACTGAGTGTCAGGACAGTTGGGGTTCAGTGCATAAAAACATAAGCCATCTGGTTATTTTCCTTGGGTTTGGGCAGACACATTTGGTCTTGTGATCATTTTCCATTTCAATATCTGGAATAAAGCAGCAGCTTTCTCGCTCTTTCTCTCGCTCTGCTTTCTCTCGCTCGGTTGGAGTGAGTGAGAAGCAGAAAAGGAAAAAAAAAACATTGGGTCAGCCTGTAGAATTATGTGAAAGCTGAAACCTCAAGCCACATTATGAAGTCTGAAGTCCCACTTTACTGCACAGATAGCGGATGGATGGGTGTGTGAGGGAATAAAGGATATGGGGAGGAGGCGAGGGAATAAGGAGTGCATGAGGGAAAAGTGAAATAGGCTACAGAGAAAAATATGAGAGAAGGAGAGAGGATTTAAAAGAAAGAGGAAGAATAAAGAAAAAGAGAGAAAGAAAGGAAAAGAAAGAAACTGCATCTGACTGATCTGCTTTCTATTAGCCAACCAAATCTTCTCCCCTGATACTCGTTCCATAGAATTATGCTGACAAAGGGGAAAAAATCCAGGGCAATTTGAAGTCCCAGACAACTGTTTGTACACCCCTCCATGTGGAGAAGAAAAAAAGAGAAAGAAAATCTCCATCTGGATAGAGAGAGAAACTGTGGCTTAATTACTTTTCTGGCTATTCATATTCATTTCTATTTCCACATTTACAGAACTAGTCAAGATGAACACAGTCAAGATGTGTGTATGTGTCTTCCAGAAGCTCTATGTCCTAACGCTGCTAGAATACTGATACTGATCATTCACTCACAGTAGCGTCGCAAGATGTCACGGCTGCATCAAATTCATACAATCTCAAACTACTCAGTTCAGTTTCAGCTCTTTTGACCTAGTTTCAGCACTTCACCAACTTGTCTGAGCATCTATTTGGGAGGTCGGCCTGTGGTGTGGTTGCGCTTAATTTGTGCATTAAGAGCGGCCTTTTTTTGCTCAGTGCCACTGCAAGGGAGTTTCGGGTCTTTTATAATGTCTTAAAACGCAGAGTGAGTAGATGTCACTGGAAATCTATAAACACACATCTGATGTTAGCGCTGTTTCTCCTCCCCATTCTGGTTGCGCACTGACCTCAGTTTCAGCGGTTTTGGCTCAAGAAAAGCATCAGCTCCATTTCCAGTAAATGTCATTTCATAGTTACTGCATTTCCACAGGGCTGAGAAACAATATTTAACGTGTAAGGAGGACTGCAATTAGACACTGTTTCTCGCAGACAGCGCGTCGACAGGGATAAGAGACAAAAACAGCATTTTCAAATCTCCTCTGGCCATGTCTGATGCAATGAATCGGCATGGGAAATGACTGCATTTTAGGAAATCGTGCTGCAACAGAAACACATTTATGTCAGACAGTGAAACATTTGGTGGTTTGAACACTAGAATAAAAAACGACTTTTTAAGTGTAAACGTCAAAACCTCAGACTCTCTGTGACACTGAGATTTTCAAGAAATAGCTTGTGCTAAGCTCATGCAACACGCAAGCATTTAAACAATGGGTTTCCAGAACAAATAAGGGGATTTACACAGAAAAGTGCTTTCTATGACCACATCAAATCTTGCCTTTGTTTCTTTAGCATATTTATGCATCCATGCTAATAGAAGTTGCTTTCCACTTAATGCCTCTTGCAAGGTCTCAACTTAAATTGCGTAAAGCTTAACTCATTATTGGGAATTTACATGGGCACCGAAAAACTGCTCTTGACTGAATCCATGGTAGAATTAATATTTTCAACCTCTTTCAAGTGTAACTCGACTCCACTTTCTTTCTGCTTTGCATTGCAGAAAATATTTGTCTTTTTCCCCCTCACTCATAAATTTCTTTCTTCCTCTCCTTGCAGGGACTGAAATGGCTACCAGATGTGGTTCCAATCTGTTCTCGTTGTCATGGAAACACAGGGACTGGAATAGGTTTTCTGAGTCCAGGGCTTTTGGCTGACTCATAGGGCCTGAGTTTTAAAGCCTAGCTGTTTCTATAGACTTGGCACACTGACGATGCCCCAGCTCCAAGTCATGTTTAGATTGGCAGCCGACATGTCATTGAACCCCCTTCCCACACGCCAAACCCTGACTTTTTGACCAAGCTTTGCGTTTTCCTGTATAGTCACTCCTTTGTGTTATTTTATGTTGCCTGAGCCAAAGTGAATTTATGTTTCACACGTCAATCTTCAATACCAAATCAATAAAACCAGCAAAATATTACTAATAGCTAACTGCAGAGGGGATATGAAAAGGCCAAGTTCCATAATCATACACAGGCCTTTCCAATTTATATCCATTCAAAAGCAGCAAGCGCAGAAATCCATCACAAGTCGTACACATGCTCAATCAACACAGTTTATCCTGAAATGCTGCGCAGTGGTGACACGCAATTCCAAAGTGTGACTTTCCCACAACACGTCAAGGATGAAAAGCCAGAGAACATGTGTTGGTATGCTCAGCTGAGAATCTTCTCCATCTGCGAGTTGAGGATGGGCAGATGGAGGCAGTTGTGTCAACATTCCTCTCCATCCTGGCAATGAATCAGACTTCAAGCCATTGTCGCATGAAAAATGGGCCGATTCAGTGGGGGAAAGTGTTTAGATTCCAGTATGGGGTTGGAGAACAAGACTAAGTCTATAGCCAGCTTAGTGAGACTGTACACAGTGGTTATCTGAGCTAAATGCTCAGATCAGCATGCTAACATGCTCACAATGACAATATTAACAGATGTTTAGCAGGCATAATGTTTACTTACCATCTTAGTTTCTTAGCATGCTAACATTTTAATTAGCACTAAACAATGAAATACAGATGAGGTAGATGGGCAAAAAAAAAATGAGTCTCAAAAGTCAAGCTCATGATGATACTAGGAGAATCCTAAAGTCATCAAGGTTCATCCTTTGGAGGCCATAAAAGGCAATCCATCCAACAGTTTTTGTGATTTTACATTACAGATTAAAGTAGTAGACTAGCTGACATTGCTATCCCTAGAGCTGTGCTTGGAGGAAAGGCTGTCCATGCTGAGAGAATCTTTCATTGTTTAAAAAAAAAAATCTTTTTAGAGTGGTTTATAAATCACTAGATCAACATCAATTTGTTGTCAACATCAAATCAAGGCAAAATAAGATAGTCCCTAATTCCCTGAAGTTTTACAGCCCTGAAAAACACTTTTGAATTACACACATGTACATTGTAGGTAGAACACCAGAAGTGTAGAATCCAAAACAAAGCTGCTTCGCCTTCTGGTTCCAATTACCCATCACATGACCTATCCATCCATCCTTATATCCATCCATTCATCCTCCTTCATTGCCTTGTGGCCCAGCCCTGCTATATCCCTCTTCTCCTCGCCAAAAGAGGACACATAAGCAGCGCGTGATTAAGTCCTTAGCACAGAGTTTCCACTGTTTTTCCCCCATGAAAGGAGCTCTTGTCCCACCGTCCTGAAGGAGCCAAATGAACAGTTCCCTCAAACTCCCTGACTCTTTGAAGAGCCGCTGTGACCGAACGACTCTGGAGGACTCGGTACTTGGCAGCCCAGTAGCCTAGAGTCACAGGAAAGGGTCAAATATCAATGAGCATTTGAATAAATCTGTTTGAAGAATACAATAAACGATTTATGTTGTGTAGCACCCAATATCTCCCTTTTGACCTTTGTTGTTCTAGTTGATTGTACACTGGAAAAAGACAAAAGATGCCAAGGAGAGGTCAAATCCCCATGATAACGAGGGTTCTCAAAGAATCACTATATGATGACTGTCATTGTTAATCGATTAAATGAAGACTTATTTTTAAGTTCTGGTTTGACTAAAGCTACATGTATTGCTTTTTTATTCCAAAGAAGTAAATGAGGAAACACCAATTTAATGGCCATACACAAATGCAAATCAAAGATGGTAAAAACAAACCACAAAAGACAAAATATACCTTACAGTTGGTAATGTTTTGCAGCTTTTCAGGCCCTTCTTTACAAAAATGCACTGTAAGCCTATAAAAACAGGCAGGGCCAGTCAGATAAAAATTGCCACTTCATAATTACACAATGCTATGGTTTTAAGTATATGAAATTGTTTCAACAGTGGTATCATAGTAGTATTGTACAATCCTTTCTGTATGAGTTATTTTTTTATGGGAGACAATAATAACAATTGGGGGGAGAAGGTTACATGTTTCCTGTGCAGCTATTAATGCCATATAATTACACTCTGCGTCATGCAGTTAAGTGTTACACAAACAATAACATCAACAGAGAACAATTACAAAGCCAATGTAAACTTTACAGGAGTAAAGTAATCATACTGTAGTTTTGCTTCGGAGCCAAAAATAAGCAACATACAAAAAAAGCAAATAAAACATGAAAGCCAGTTCATTGACACCAAGGAAAACTACAAAGGTCATATAAGCACAGCTTACAAAGATAATAAAAAGTACACAATGTATACAAGTAGAAAATGTTGAAATAATAACCAGAGAAATGTGTTGTACCTTGATAAAAAATACATAAAACCAAGACAATTTTTCAAATTAGCTGTGAATGAAGATATTCTTCAGCTCAAAACATACCATGTTAACCATGGCATGTTAACTTGCTGCATGCATACCTATCATCCTTTGTACATAGCTCTTATTTTGAGTGCTACTTTCAAAAAAGCTATCCACCAATAACTGGAATTAAAAGATTTTTCCTCTTGACAAGCTGAATTCGTCCAGTTTTAGTATACCACCCCACCACCTTTTTTGGTTTACTTATTTCATGATCAACACTTGAAAAAGTTGGAAACAACATTTAGGCAAACAAAGCTTCTTTTGCTTAAACTGATCCACAGTCGAGGCACATTTTAACACTTGAGGCACGGTACCATCTAGCCTTACAATCTTACCTTAAAACAATGAAATTAAAGCACAGTATTACTTCAGCATGAATCTACTAGCTTAAAATAATATGATACTTAAGGGACAAAACATCTTTAACAGTTTTTTTCACACAATACCCCAATGGCATAAACAAATTCAGAAATGAGAATAGGCGATGGCGATATTGACCTAGTTTCTCAACTAAACCAAAAGAGCACATGGCAGTCTCTTTCTGTAGTCTCATCTGGGGAAAATGATACTAATATTTATTACTTTAACGGAACTATCTATTGCATCTGATCTACATGGAGGATTTGTCCTGCAGTATGTTTTCTTAAATACAGCAAAGGGAAACTGCAGATGTTAATGTATTACAGAGAAAGTGAGTGAGTTTAAAGTGATTTATAAGCATGACATAAGTGAGGACATGGCATAGCTTAGGATTTTATTTTTGGTTTAGTGGTTAAGCTGACTGAATAAAATGTACAGTAAGAACACATTCTGGTGATTTGGTGTTAACAGAAGTATGAAAAAGGTTTAAAACAGCCCTTTTTGCAGAAAGATCAAAGCTCTTGTTTGGGTTTCAACAAACCGTGTCTGACATAGTTGGACAAAAGAGAGCAAAAATGTTTAATCCAAAAATGTAACATTTCTGTAGAGAATAGCTTTGAAACCAAAGCTAAAGCTCAGTCAGGAATTGAAGGTGACTCATGAGCACAGAAGACAATTCAGTCTTCATTGTAGCATAACTTGTGTACTTTGGGGGTATTGAATTTAGCTGATTAAAGAGAAGTAATCCTAATAACATAGTAAATCAACCTGGAAGTTTCTCTGGTAGCAAAATAGAGAAGGAACATAAAAAGGTGCTTTCTCTGCTAAAGACAACGTTCTCCAACAAGTCACACTGAAACTTTTAAATGTGACTCTTAATTGATAATAATTAAGTAGACCCTTATCTGCAAAGAACAGCTTTGACATCAAGAATGAGGATTATTTCTAATTTAGGGTGACTTAAGGTAGAACTGTTTTTGTGCATGTTGGTCCAAAACAAAACAAAACAAAAAATAGCTTGCAATCCTTAGAGGATCTAATTTTCTTGTTATTTTCAGTACCTTCAGTACCCGTGGAGAGTGTCCATAAAAATAGCTATTTTTTCGATACCTGCATATCAAATTACAGTTACTCAATCTCAAATGTAATCCATATATAAATATAGTGGTGGACATACTGCAGAGGAATAGAGATGAATGAACTGTGGATTATGAGTGTGCAGCACTGTTTTCAGTGTCCAGCTGATCCACAGGTTGTGGTGTGAGATTGATACATAGTTGTTACACAAAAAAGGATTCTTGAAATGAAATACAATGGTGTATAGAGGTCATTATAATACAACTCACCAATACGATTCAACTGCGCACTCAATTTAAAGGCCTTTCTCACTGTTGACTGGTCCTGGAGTCACAACATACTCACACAGAAAAAATATAAAATTCCTCTTTGGACAAATCCATTTTAGTCTCTTTGATATCCATCACAAACTTTGGCCATTTGTCTTTAAAAACATTTATTTCACTAACTGGGGTGGCATAATCGCTGTCTTTTGCTGGGGTATTTTACTTTCCGATGTATCCAAAGTACCCTCCTTGCCTTTCTTCCTGGGTGGCTTTTTTATCGGAGTCTTCTTTGGTGTAGAATCCAACATTGGATCCCCTGCCCTAGAGCCGTTCAAGTCCTGCTTCTCCGGGCTCTTGGCTTCAGGGGTCCCAAGGTCGGTGGTGACCGGTGCCACCATCTTCTGGAGGCTGCTTGAGGTGGGCAACAGGGGCTTGGTGGAGCCCTGCTGATTCAATCCACTGGAGGGGGTCCTCTTGGCTTTCTGTGGAGGTGTTGGCTTCTCTCTGTTTCCCTTGGGTGTGGAGAGACCATTGGTCTTCGTCAGACCTGTTCCCTCATTCCTGTTGATGCTTTGGGTTTTCTCCTTGAGCTGAGCAGCCAGGAGTGTGGCAGCCTCAGAGTTCATATGCGGGTGAATAACCTTGGGGCTCTTGGGTGGCTCCTTGGGGGTCTCCTTTGGACTGTCAGCACTCTTCTTCTCAGATGAGGAGCTGTGGAAGTTACTTATCTTCTTGAGGGCATTCTGAACCACACCATTGATATGCTCCATGTGACTGGGACTGCTGTGCTCGTCCCCAGACTTCTTACCTCGCAGAGGTTTGTGTTTGCTGGGCGAACCATTGATGTCTGCCCCCTTTCCCTCTTTCTTCTGTTGCTCACGGCTCTTCTCCTTCATTTTCTGCCGTTCCTCACTCTTGGCTGAGCCATCACTGGAGCTCCTCTTCTTCTCCTTTGGCACTGCAAGCACCTTCATTCCCCCCTGTCCCTGCTGCTCTGACTGGGGAGAGCCTGTAGTATTTCCATGTATCCATGATACTTTGGGCTTAGTAGACGGGTCTGGTGGGCGAGGTTTGGGCTTGCCAGGTGAAGGTGGTGGCTTTCCATTGCGCTTAGCCTCTGGTGTAGGGGTGCTATCCCCATCCTTGCCGCTGATATCGTCCTCCTTGGAGTGCTTGGATAGGCGGGCAATGCGGGCGTAGAGGGCCGCAGTAGTGGACTCAGAGCCACTGGTGGAGCCTTCACTGTCAGAGGACTTGAGAAGGGGCTGTTCGCTGCCATCTGGCTTTGTGACACTGGTGTCTTTCAGGGAGGTGTACTCCCCTGCATCCTCTTCATTAGGGATAGCTTCTGACCTCTCTGCTGCCGGGCTGAGACTGTGTTTCTCTTTGCTTTCGTTCACAGATTCTGTGGATCATTGAAAGACAGTATTAGTCAAGGATTATCTATCTTATATTCAAAATTAAAGAAGATTTTACTTTAATATTTTCCTGTAATTACCACTTGTGGCCACTGTGGGTGCTGTATGAGAGTGCTGTATATTAATTTAAAAAAAGTACAATGTTTAATTTTGTGTTTTGTTTTTTCTCAGTGTGGAGGATGGAGGGTTGTATGCTATGTCGTAAAGCCCTTTGGGGCAACTAAGTTACTTGTGATTTTGAGTATATAAATGAAATTTACTTTACAATAAAAGTCTATTTAAAATTTAGTGTAAACATACACATACTAAATATCTTTTAAATCTGTAACATCTTGTCATTATAAGGAGACGTTCTTTTCTTCCCACCAGAGAAGAACTAATAAACATGTCATTTAAAGATATCTGTACCACTTTATTCTCTAATTTGTATACACATACTTGAGAGTGGAGCAGCACCAAAGCAACAGATCCTATCGGTGGAACTCTAATTCAAAACCCTTTCATGATGTTTACAGTGATTATTCTGTGCTCAAGGCTCAAAATCAATTGTTTCAAAGCCCTTGAACCATTTATGTGGAGAATGAGAACTAAACCACAACTACTGAGGAAGCACTAAAAATCCACCAATCACAGAACACACAAAAAAAAAAAAATTCCCCCAAAACAAAGCGTGACTTGGACTGTCAGACTTCAAGAATAGAAACTGATAGAATTGGGTGTTTTCCACCAAACTTCAAGGAGTTAGTCACTGTTTGGATTTGTGTCATGTGTGGACTTGACCATTCCATTTCCTGTTCATACTTTCCTTGTTCTTGACGGAAAACCTGGACCTAGTATGATAAAGACACCATCTCCCTAATTAGATTTACAGAAGTGGGTGAGTCACTGAATGGTCACACTGGGGATCTTAACTTCTTCAGAAACACATACAAGCAATGTATGTGAAAAGGCTCCTGTGCATGCCAA